CCTTTATAACTTACTCAGCAGACCCTTATTACTTCAGCCAGAGATTTTTGGTCCTTATTGAGGACGTCCTATTTTTATTTTTCGGAGGCCCCTATTGTTAGGGGGGGGGCCCCTAAGATTAAACAGGGTGCAACATTAATCAATCGTACAAAGCCCCCCCGCACGCTTCTAAGCCTGCCGAGGAAGGGTCCCAGGACCCGGCGGCAACAATGGTTAGAACTGATGAGTAGCTCAAAGCCCGGATTGTTCAGTGCCGTGAAACCAAGTGCCCTGTACGTGTAGCAGAAGTGCAAGCTGATGAGACATTTCAAAGGCTCCCCAAGACCGACCTTGTGAAATGGATGTCCTCCCCTACGTAGCAGTCCCTAAAGGCTCTGGTAGGAAACAAGGTCAAGGAAAACACCTCAGAAGGAATCAAAACAAATCGCATCAAAATGGGAAAACAAGCCACGGACAAGGAAGGAGCAGGGTAAGGAAAATGTAACGAGGACGGCTCGCCCTCCAACGCCCCATCCAAACCGCAACACGGGACTACAGGCATCGTGTTGATGAAGGTCAGCGGAACCAAAAGGTCAGCAGACCCGTCCCCTGAATCCTTAGAACCGTAAGCACGAAGGGAGACCTGACCGCACTGGGATCCAGACTGTCACATCAGGAGCCCTGCAAACTTGGCTGCTCGGAAGAGCAGCCGGTTACTAATTGGTCTTGCACTTTTGCTTAGTTTGACGCAGTGGGGACTTCACCTTCAGCATCATAGCTGTATGGACAAGCCGCCAAGGTTTTTCAACGACTTATAAATTTTATTGACTTCATGTTTCAATATTTGACTCATCAGTCAAATAATCAACTAAATCACAAATATATATATATATTCTCAATCAACTCAATCACTCAAACACAAGCAGACACTTCTTTTTACGGGTTAGAGCATTCACTCACCCCCGAGAGTTTGGGTGGGACAGGGTGAGAAAAACTTCAACTTCGGGCAACAAACAGCGCAGCAACCGGTACATGTAATAACACGCGCACAAAGTTCTGCTGCTGCTGTTGTTGCTGCTGCTGTAAATCAAAACGGTTTTCCACAAATTCAGAAACATGAAACCATGGCTATAAAGCGAAATGAGACGCGCCCCAAAAGGTGCTTATAACCTTTATTGACTTCATGTTTCAATATTTGACTCATCGACTCATCAGTCAAATAATCAACTCAAGCATAAATATGTATATATATATAAATTCTCAATCAACTCAATCACTCAAACGCAGGCGGACACTTATTTTTAGCTTGTGTGGCCACTGCCAAGTGGGGAGATTCAATCACACGTGCCCAAACACATGCCACCTTCGCGGCAGCGGGTTAGAGCATTCACTCACCCCCTCTTAACTTTGTTCTCGCGTAGGCCAGCACACGACCACACAAGAAGCGCTCAAGAGGGTCACACTGCAAGGATCCATACACAGGGAATCCAGAGCAGTCACCCCCAGATGGTCCGTCCGCACAGTTAGATCGGCTTGGCACTCTGGCGTACCATCCCATCACGGGCCCAGCAGCGTCCGCCTTCGCGTATTCCAAAAGCAACTGCCTGAAAACAAAGTCACGCCAGCTGTCCTCGATGCACGCTGAATGGACCCCGGTATGGTCCACGAAGAACATCGTTCTCCGGCCATACCTTGTGCATAGGTGCCTCGCTGCCACAACCGCATACAACTCAGTGGGGCCAATGAGGTGCTTCTTGCCAGGATGAGACTGCACCAAAGGCTCGGGTCGAGATCTGGCCCTTCTCGTCGACGTGATACAGGATGCCGCCTTCGGAGCAGCGGAATTTTACAGCATCTCCCTCTGGCTCGCAGGTACCATCGGTGAAAACGCTGTTACAGCCACCTTCCAGCTTCACCATCAGCTCACGAGCCTTCAACTGCTCAAAGGCCTTGACGTCACACACGTCCAAGGTATGCACATAGCGCGCACTAGCCAACCATCGCAAACTTGCCAGGGCCAGCTTTCCCTGTCGGCCAGAGCGAAGGAATCAGCTTGGGATCAACCTTGCCCACCTCCAGCACGCTGTCAATGGAGGCAGCGATCTCCACTGCCCGGTCCGGCTTGTTGCTGATCCTGACCACCGACCTCTGGGGATCTGACACGTCCAAAGGGACACCCAGAGCGAAAGGCATATCCTTGTCTGTGGCCCAGACCACGCCGAAGAGATCCTTGAACCGTGGAGTTGCGGTTATCGGCCAAGGCAGCCACCTCCACCGCTGGGAAATCATCGAAATAACACGAAGTCATCAGAAGAAGCTCCCATTGATCCTCTGCCAAGCTTTGAGATGCGATTAAACTGCCCCACTGAAGCCAGGGCTCCAAATGGGAGCACGTGGTTCACGAAGCGCTTCGGAACCCCGTCCCGAAAATCTCTAATGCTCACTACGCAAATTGTTTATAAGCAGCCTTAAGGTCCACTGTTTTCAGCATGGGATCACAGCGCGAAGGAGACTGCAATTTGACTGGAATGTAAGGGTGCACCGGTCCAGAGATTACAGCACCATCAGATTTTCTGAGCATCAAGTCACCGATGGAGGCCACGACCTTCATGATAGCCACGCACAGCCAGCTGATCTTGTCGAGGGCACGCAGTGAGATGCGCTCCATGACCTCCCAGGCCTGGTTGACTGCCGACTCACTAAGGTCATCTGTTGCTCTCAGTTTGTTGCGCTGCCGCAGGCCAAACCTGCAGCAGGGGAGCCAGTCTTTGCCAAACTTGTCCGAGAGCGCCTGCCAGTCATGAGGGCCGTCAAGCCACGCAGCCTCACCTGCTTCCGCCAGCGTCTGCTCCCACACAGCTTTTAAATCATCATCGATCCTCGCCTCCGAGATCTTGGTCCACAAGGCTGGCCTGACATATTTGGCATGCTCCATTAGCTCCTCTTCCGTAAGAGTAGATGGTTTGGGGTCCAAGTCCAAAACACACCCATGATCGGCGCCTTTGCGACAAGCATGAAGCCATTCTGCATTTCATCCACAATGGACTCACATCCGGCCACTCGAGGTCTCGGCACACCCTTCTGAAAAGGGACAGGTTCTTACCCTTGAGGACCTTCCTCAGAGCCGGTTCAAAGAGGCATGTAAGGCAGCTTCAGCATCCTTGTCAGTGTCAGCCCACGCCCTCCATTTCTGCAAGATCTGCAACCTACGCCTCACTCAGCCTCCGTACGCCAAGTTCTGTGCGCCAACAAGAGAGCCGCGCTTCAGCCCGGACCTAGTCTCTGCGCAAGGCTCCTTCCGAGACCTCGCCAGTCTCAGGTCACCCAGCTGTCAGCCTGCGTGAAGCAAGCGGGATTTGACGTGACGGCGGTTGATCGTGAAGGGGACCGGCGTAGGTCTCTGGTTGTTGCCATTGTCAAGTTTGACGTGCGCTTCTCTTTGTGCGCAGTGGAAACTCCCAGCTGTCAGCCTGCGTGAAGCAAGCGGGATTTGACGTGAGGGCCGTTGATCATGAAGGGAACCGGCGTAGGTCCCTGGCGGTTGCCATTGTCAAGTTTGACTTGCGCTTCTCTTTGCGCGCAGTGGAAACTCCCAGCTGTCAGCCTGCGTGAAGCAAGCGGGATTTGACGTGATGGCGGTTGATCATGAAGGGAACCGGCGTAGGTCTCTGGTTGCCATTGTCAAGTTTGACTTGCGTAAGGAGGCCTCATGGGATTTTCTTGCTAGAATCACCTTGGCACGGATGCTTCTGGCTTTGCGTGCTTCGCCGCCGCGTGGCACAGCTTCTAGTCGTCCAATGCAGAGCGGGGGCCCCCGCCTCTGCGTTCTGAGATGCAGCCATGGGGTTTAGATAATCTTCCTGCCGTTGAACAGGCAAAGGTTGAGTCTGCCAACTCCATTTATGTTAAGGGGGCAATTTACTCTTTTCTTGCACGCGCTGGCCGTGGGCTGGTGCATAGAAAACCCTGCGCGTAGCCTTTCCTGGTATTCAGAGTCGTACTGCCACCTTGTCCAGGAACATTTTCGTGTGTACTATCACTCGTGCGCGCGCGGCAGTTCGAGACGCAAGGCCCAAATGCTTGAGCAGCGTCCGGGAGCTGTGTGACACGGCGGCTGAGTGCGACAACTTGCACCCTCACGAGCCTTGGGGCCATAGCAAGAGAGGCGGAGTAACGGACTTTGACACCGCCAAGGAGGCTGAGTTTCCTTTCCTCTTTTGCAAGAGATACACGTGGCGTCTGCTGGTCTATGCAGGCCGTGTTGGTTTCCAAGCCGTAGCCCCATGGCATCTGCGCAAGCCCAGGCCACTGTGGCTACCCAGCGACAGCCAAAGCTTTTCGGTTGTTGGTTGTTGAAGAGCAAATTCCGCACTTCTTTTTCTTTTGAACTGCCGAGCCTGGACGAGCTGAGCCTGGATTCCAAGCAGTGCCTTCTGGTAGCCTTTAGGGGCCTCCTGGCCGGTTCCCGCGTGCTCCAGGTTGCGCCAGTGAATCTAGGTCCCCTTCGCCCGCCTGTGCTTCTGCCCTCTGCCCTTCGGGTTTAGGTGGTTTAGGCGACCCTCACCTCGCTGGTCACAGTGATAGATGTAAACATGAAACCCGGGGCGGCCATCTTCACGGCCTCACAGAAAACCTGTGTTGTCACCGGGAAACGCTTCAGATTGGTTTTTGGTCCCCACCAAACCGCCCTTCACAAAGGCTCCTGACGCAAAGGCTGTTGCGCCTGGCACAACCGAAGGCCTGCTCACGGGATCTGGAGGAAGAGGATCAAACAAACGAATTAAGTCTGATGCTGGGCGCACGCACAAAGGCAAAATTGAGGTCGGGCACACTTGCGGCCCCTTCGGACAAGTCTTCTGAACTCAAGGCCCGTCGGTTTCAAGGCTCAGAGATGGGCGCAGCACTTCTAGTCAATTGCCGTTTCCGCCCCCTTCGGGCGCTTGGGACACCTGATCGCTGGATGCATCAGGCCGCACTTCGGCCAGGCACAGATGTGAAGGCCGCGTTCGCATTTGTTCTGCTCAACCCGGTTCTGGCAGGTGCCTAGGTTGAACCCATAACAAATCGGGTTTCCTTCTGAGGTGTGAGAGTTGCAACCCTTCAAAGCGCCCGGCATGGCAATGAACCTCGTCTTGCTCTGCTGTCCTTTGCCCTTGCCTTTGCCTTTACCCCCGCAGGAGTAAGGGGCTTCTCGAGCGACCCTGCCTTCGGTCGGCTCCCTTGACTGAGCGGCCGCACCTGGAAGCGGCACCATCAAGCAGACGACTTCATGCGACTGCATCACGCTTTCAAACCCTGCGAACAACAAAGGATCCAAAACAAACACAGCACACGCACGCTGAAGAGACATACGGCGCACGTGCTCTACTCGATGCGCCTCGCACAAGGCCCCCAAGCCCCCAAGCAGATGCAATAGACCTTACCTCAGACATCACGCAAAAAGATTTAATCAACTTCCCAAGAGCCACACACTGCCACAGACTCATTTTCAGCAGCTTTCGGGCGAATCCAAGCAACAGCTAAGCTAAACGAAAACAACTAAGCTCGCGATCCGGATCTCATCCATCACCCCCGCATCTCGTCAAGCATCGCTCAGATCTTCTGAAACACCGAACCACAGCACACGCACACTGCAGACGCGCACAGTGCTCCTGCTCCACCAGATGCGCGTCGGGCAAGGCCTCCAGGCAGACACGATAGACCTTACCTCACACATCACGCAAAAAGATTTGCTGAACTACCTCGCAAAATCGCAACAACGAAACGAAAACAACCAAGCTCGCGATCCGGATCTCATCCATCACCGCCCGCATCTCGTCAAGCATCGCTCAGATCTTCTCAAGCACCGAGCAAACGTCCAACATATTCTGAATGCTCCGCACCGGAGCGCGATGTTCGTCAAAATTTTCAGGACGCTCCACGCAGGAGCGCGATTCTTCAAAAATTTCAGGACGCTCCGCACGGGAGCCCGACGTTCGTCAAAATTTTCAGGACGCTCCGCACGGGAGCCCGATTTTTCTCAAAATTTTCAGGACGCTCCGCACAGGAGCCCGATTTTTCTCAAAATTTTCAGGACGCTCCGCACGGGAGCACGATTTCTCTCAAATTTTCAGAACGCTCCACACGGGAGCCCGATGCTCCGTGCGGGAGCGCGTTTTTCTTCAAAATTTTCAGGACGCTCCGCGCGGGAGCACGATTTTCGTCAAAAGAGACCGATCTTGAGCGGATCAGTTTGGTATAGAATTGGTATAGAAATTGTTCCTTAAACGACCAACGAATCCGACGAATCCTATACCAAATCTGTACCAAAACGCCCCCCAAGAACCTCACTCTTGAGAAGATAAATCGACGAAATGTCGAGGACGTCGAGCGAGAGCGCGATTTTTGAAGATACGAAGATGTTCAGAGGCTCAAAAAAATCGAATTGTCTCGCGCGAGAGCGCAATTTTGGATATTTTATAAACCCCGAAAAACGCGATTTTTTGAGGACGTCTCGAGCGAGCGCGCGATTATTGAAAGTCAGGGAGTCGTCCAATTCGTTTCGAGCCATCTGGCCTCTCAGCTGGATCCATCAAGGACATCAAAACATTCACTTTTTTGAAGACGTCTCGAGCGAGAGCGCGATTTTAGAGGACACGAAGATGTTCAGAGGCTAAAAAACGCCAACTGTCTCGCAAGAGTGTGCAATTTTGGATATTTGCTAAAGTCCGAAAAACGCGATTTTTTGAGGATGTCTCGAGCGAGAGCGCGATTTTCAAAAATCTGGGGGTCGTCTAATTCGTTTCGACCCCCCCTAGCAAGACTACTTTAAAGGCAATCTGGCCTCTCAGCTGGATCCATCAAGGACATCAAAACATTCACTTTTTTGAAGACGTCTCGAGCGAGAGCGCGAGTCGTTAAAAATCCCAGCGCGTCCAAAATGTTTGCGCGACGGAAGAGCACGCTGCGGGCGCCGGACAGCGACACATCCAAATAATTAGAACCCCACACTAGATGCGGGGCAAAAAGATTTGAGCAACGCATGGGGGTAGCGGAGGCCTTGGCCAGCCTCCACACGTGAATCTCTTGGGTTGGTGTACAGGATGAAGTCCACAAAGCTTTGCGCATGCCAACGCTTGAAAATTGCTGGGAACCTTCAGAGCATTG